GATGTGAGGAAGAATTTCTTTGCTGAAAGGGTTCTGAGGCATTGGAAGGGGTTGCCCAGGGCAGTGGTGGAGTCCCCATCCCTGGAGGGATTTAACAGACGGGCAGACGAGGTGCTCAGAGATCTGGTTTAGCAGTGGACAGGTACGGTTGGATTCAATGATCTCAAAGGTCTTTTCCAACTGAACGATTCTGTGAACATCCTCTGTGAAGCCTGGCTGAGGGGTGGCAGTGCTGGGGAGCCCCTGCTCTGTGCAGCTGCAGGTGTCTCCTCTCTGGGGTGGCTCTGCTGAGTCACAGTGACACCGACCTGTGCTGCTTTTGTGCTTCCAGACCCAGTTTGGAAGCCCCTGCGGGCAAAGGGGATGGATCTGACCCCTCTGTCCCAGCAGCCTGTGCCTGCTGGTTCTTGTCACTTGGCTCCTTGGGTCATTCCTGTGTGCAGAGATGTAATGCCTTGGCTTGTAGCGGGGCTGTAACTTGTGGAACTGGAGTAACACAGCAGCAGGGGTGACTGACAGTGGTTTTGGTGAAAGCAGAGTCACTCCAGGAGGCGGGTGCCTGGCTGGTTTGTTCTGTGCTGCTCTGCAGATACTTGCTGGGTGGAATATGCTGGAACATATGATGCCTGGTGCTGTGGTGACTTCTGGAGTGATTTCTGTTCCCTTTAATAATGTAAAAGTGTTTTTTGAAGGGTTTTAAAAATTATTTTCTATTGAAAAAAGTAAATGAATAGTCAGAGCACTTTGTAGAGTCACCCCAGGCACTGTGAGGCGCTGCCTGCCCTGACTGTTAAGGCAACAGATTTCCACCTCTCTAATTTGGGGGTTTTTTTCCCCAATACAGTGATGTCTGCACTGCTGACTCTTACTTCATAGTGCTTCTGGAGAGTAGGTCAGACCACTGGTGTTAATTTTAGATGATGATATGTGGGTGCCACTGAGATGTGCTCTGACTTCCTGCCCCTTCTCTGCTCTCATTCAGGCTTTAACACTGTGGTGCTATTAAAGAATCCTCCTCCGCCTCCGGGACTGTCGGTGCCTGTCAGTAAACCCCCTCCAGGTTTTGCTGTTATTCCATCCACCAATATCTCTGAACCTGTCACTACATCTTTGAAAGAGTAAGTAAAAGTCCTGTGAGTTGGAGTTACTTCACACATTACATCTGAGTTACATCATATGGGCTTCAACCAAGACATGAACCATTCCAAGGGGCTCGTTCTGAACCGGCACCGCCACCGACCGAGTGAGTCCTGCTGGGGAGTCCCAGTGTCCTGGGCTGGATCCAGAGAGCAGGAGGAATGAAAACCTGTGCAGTGTGGCAGCTCAAGACTTTTGTCTTTTCTAGATTTATTTGCAAATCTGCAGCTTCACCATATTTCTTAACCTGTCCATTGACTGTCTGAGTCCCAGAAGGAAGGTGCTGAAGCCTGTTTTCCTTGGTGACCTCTAAATGTCTTCATTGCTCTGACCTTTCCAGTAGCTGATCTCCAGCCGGGGCCCTTCTGGGCTGAGAGATGAGTCGATGGGAAAAGGGGAGGGGGAAAATTGTATCATTTTAATACAGACATCTGAATTAATCTGTTTGATTGTATTTGTGACGCACTCTTTGTTGCTCACATCTTTTCACTAAGCCTGGCTTACAAAATGGCTGCTCCAGACTCTGTTAAACCTGCATTTAAAATACTCTGTTTAGGTGAAGCTGGAATCTGATCCAGTAATCCCATGGGACACGTTTCAGTGTCCTGACAAGACAGCTGTGTGCTGCTTACAGCAATTGTGTGTGGGTGGAGGAAGGGGACGCATCCTATAGAAGAGAACAGCCGTATCATACACACCCCTCAGCACCTTGCGTTGTCACAGTCACTTCTGGTGTTTCCCAATGCAGGCCAAAATCCTGTCACGGATCGTACCTGATACCTGAGAACTTTCAGCAGAGGAACATTCAGCTGATCCAATCTATTAAAGAATTTCTTCAAAGCGATGAGTCCAAGTTCAATAAATTTAAAACTCACTCTGGGCAGTTCAGGCAGGTGAGTGGGCAAGAACCTTCGGAGTCCCAGAACCTTCCTGTCTGGGAGGAAGTGAATCCCAGGGAGATTGTTAAATTTATATTATATATATTTTATTATATTATTTTATTGTATTTTTTTTCCCTAATGATTCCAATTGTCCTTTCCCTGCAGGGGCTGATTTCTGCAGCACAGTATTACAAGAGTTGCCGAGAGCTGCTTGGAGAGAACTTCAAGAAAATTTTTAACGAGCTGTTGGTGTTGTTGCCAGACACAGTTAAGCAACAAGAACTCCTTTCTGCCCACAACGATTTCAAAATCAAAGAAAAACAAAGCTCAAACAAACCCAAAAAGAACAAAAAGAATGTTTGGCAGACGGACTCCAACTCTGATCTCGACTGCTGTATCTGCCCCACGTGTAAGCAAGTGCTGACTCAGCAGGACGTTGTCACCCATAAAGCTTTGCATATTGAGGATGAGGAGTTCCCTTCCTTACAGGCAATCAGCAGAATCATCAGTTAGTTTTCCCACAGACCAATAAAGGTGTCTCTGTCTATGAATCTGCACTTTTTGGAATGAGGTTTGGGGGTGGAGTGTGGCTGAGAGCCGGTGCTGGTTGAGTTGTGGGGTAACTGTTAGAGGTCCCTCCCT